GTGACGAAAAGCAGGACTATTGACTGAAAGGGAGAAGGGAGACGGATTTATATAACCTCAGAAACGAAGGGCCTTATGGAGGGCGAGAGCTCACAGCTGGGTGTGTTTCCCTCATGGTATCCGTAAATACTGATCAGCTGTGGAAAACAGAGTTTCATGCACTTGGGAGCGCACTGAACAGTTTCAGAGAAGCTATCTCAAACGACTCTCACCGAGAAATGTTTGCAGCGACAGGGACAAGAGACTAAAGCATATTTTGCGGAATTAAAATCTTAGCATTTTATTTTGAAGCATAATTAAAGCGAAAGCTTGACGTTCACCTTCAGATTACACGAGAAGCACAGGGGACCACACACGGACGGACCCCTGTCACCCCGCCCCGCCCCCGCCCGTACCTGGAAGTGGGGGCTGGAGACACACTTGGCCAGCTGCCGGAAGAGTGGCTCCATGATCTTGACGAACTCCGACGGTTCGATCACATCTAGGATCTCTTCCAGCTCGTTTAAGAACATCACTTCTTTCGGACTGTGAGTCTTTGGCCAGTATTTGAGAAGTGCCATCACCACCTGCAGAAGAAACAGCACGGTGTGACGTCCACGGCGCCCCGCACCCGGGAGCCGAGAGTCTGTTCTTTCGCGCCCACCGCCCAGCGATGAGATAAGGTGGTGCTTTCTTCCTCGTAGGAGAAACAGTGATTTGGCCAATTAGCACGTGGGTTTTTTATAATTAGAGGAATAGGTCTAATTTTATATACTTTAGAATCACAATTTTCATTTACGTGACCCACGCACTCTGATTAACCACCTTTTCAAGAGTCAGTTCTTTTAAAAATAATACAAAAAAATAGGCAGTTAGGAGTTTAGAGGAGACCGATGGACAGACAGAGCATGTGAATCATGTACACGTTTCAGTGTGTAAGTGGCCAATTCTAAAATTGTTGGCAATATATATATGCACAATCGATTTCTTTCTCAAATTAATGATTTACATACATTTATACACAAACATACATGCTGTGGGTACAGTGTATGAATATATATAGTGTTTTCGACTGCACTAAAATGTATAAAAAACAGAAACATGCTGATGTTGTCAGCTCACACCACAGGGGGCAGCAGTGGGACCTGGGCTCAGGCCCACACTGCCCTTTGCGCGTGTGACTCAGGCTGGTCACCAACTGCTCAGAGCCCTCATTAAAGACCGGGGGCCCAGCAATCCCACCCCCGGAGCCCCCGTGAGGACTGCCCCCCACGCAGCTGCCTGAGGGCTGGCCTTGTGGGGCCTCAGCTGGGTCCCCACCCAGACGGCACGTTGGGCCTGGCGGCAGCAGCCTCCGAATTTGTGGGTGCTGGGGTTACGTTCCCTGCCCGAGTCAGACAGGCAGAGAGCTCCTGCCGGGCAAGAGCTGTTTATTCCTAGTTTCCAAGTTTCCTACCATGATACCAGTAAAAACTGTCCACTGGCATATCAGATTTGACCCCATGCAGATTAAGATTTCTCGAGCTTAGCTATCTTAAGTCGAAAACAGCACAACAATCCAAGGCATTTACCTGTCAGCACACGTGAGGAACACACGCAGACTTGCACGCGTAACTGTACGGCTGCAACCTGCTGCTTTAGAGCAGGGGCTCGGCCTCCGAAATCGCCACCCAGCCGCCTGCACTGGGACTGTGGCGGGAGTCACCGCAACGCCGGCTCGTGTGGACTGGCTGGCGGTTCCCATCGCTAGTCACTTCCAGCCCTGCAGGTCACCCCAACTCAAATCTTAGCATTTTATTTTGCTAAGCAGACTGGCCTTTTAATCACTACCTGCTAAAATGCACGGTGGTTTCTGAGCGACACCCATTTAGAACGATTCTGTTTTGATGCTCTTGGCATTCGGGCTTCTGGATAACCTTTCATACGACACTTTGTAAAACCCCAAAATTTATAAAAAAAGAAAGCGCTTCTTGTTCTGACGCCTGACATAAAAATTTACGACACAACTGACTTTAAGAGGAATTATTTTTAAAAAATGCATCATTTAATGACTTCCCTCGGCTTTTTTCCTCAGAGTAAGTTAACAGACATTTACCGAGTTCCTCGCATCCCCCGCGTGTATGAGAAGCGCTGCCCGGACACAGCACGCGCAGACCGCAGCTCAGGCCCGGCTCCTCGCCGCCGGACAAATGGAACTTTGTAGCAGAAACAGGTTCATGTGCAACCCGCAGGAGCAACTGACGGAGCCATTCAGTGTCGCTGGGAAAGGTTTCACTTCTGGAACCAGGGGCACGTGCTGGGCCCACTTCTCAGACTATTCGGAGCGACCTCTGAGCACACGGCTCACCGGCTGTTTCAGAGTGACAGCGTGCGTGGAGGGGTGTCTGCTCGGGGACGCTAAGCCCAGGTGACGAGGGCCGCTCGCTGCCGGGAGCGCTCCGAGAACTGGCCTTTCCTCCGGAATCTCTGGAGAGGACAGGCAGGCCTGGCACGTGCGGTGGCCCCGTCTGGCACGCTGGGGTGCACCGCCCGTCCCCCACAGTCCTGGCCTGCCAGGGGCAGGGGAGTTCCCACCAGGCCGCGCAGTCGCACTGATCAGCCTGGGAGACAAGTGAGCAGAAAAGGGCGGGGCTTCTGTTCTTCCCACGACGCAGCCGTGTTCGGGCGCCCGGCGAGCTTCCAGGCCCCGTGTGCGGTTTGCAAATGGGAAACGTTAATTACAGACCACGAACGGGGGCGCCGAGCGCCTCCAAGCAGCTCCTCCTTGAAGGAGTCTCAAGCCTGGACGCAGCGGATCGCAGGAGCGCGCCCAGTGTCCTTCGCAGGCTGCTGGGCGGTCGCCCGCCTTCCCAGGGGCCTACACGTCACCTCATTACCGACAAGCTTCCGACGCCGAGCGCGACACAACGGCCTGTGTATTCTGGTGAAGCATGAACTTCAGAGGAGGGGACTGACCGAGGCAGGGCTCTGAACGTTTTTAACGTGCGGGAACTTAAATCTGCTTCCCACAGTCGAGTGGGTACCACTACCACCTGTGCTGAGCGGATTAAGAAGTGATCCTGGGTGCAGACGCTGGGGACCGGCGTGGGGGCCTGGTGTGTCCCTGTGCTCCTGCCAAGCCAGCCTTCTGTCCGCTGCTTGAGACAGAGGGGCCGCCGAAGCCAGCACGCCTTCTCTGCCTCCCTTCCGCCAGCGAAAGCCTCCGCTCTCGGAGACTTACGTCACCTTTCTCAGTGGGAATTAAAAGCATTTATTAACTCTATCAGCTTTCACGTCACTTCTAGGCGAGAGGGAACAGGTTGGACCCCGCTTTCTGAGTCTCGCTGAGCAGGACGAGGCCCTGGGCTCTGACAGCACACATAGGGGGCTTGGTGGAAGCAGCCTGAGTCAGTGGTAAACACAGTGTGACTTCCTTAGCCACTAGGGAGAGTACGAAAATGTGCACAAAGAAAAATCATGAAAAGAAGACTTTGCATACTCTTTCTCTCCTTCCGTATTTTTCTTTGCCTTTTTATTTTTGAAAAAGGGTGGCGGTGTGTTAGCATTTCTTCCCATATTACTTTCGCCAGTAAAAACTCTCACCCTCAGTCTGAAGAAGACGCTCACATAGAAGAATTCAAATTAGGATGCGTCACCCCTGAGGAAAAGTTATTATAAAAGGCTTTTTTATTCTTAGCGCCGTCTCAGTTTCCTTTCCCTTCCTAAACACATCTTCGGTTTAGTTAAGGAAGATAAAGATAACACACCTGCACTCTAAGCTGGAGCGCAGGCTTCGTTTGATACTGGAGTCCGAGAAGGTTCGGTTCACCACCTTGGGAGCCTCCAGAACCCCAGCCAGGGCTGTGAGGAGGCCCCAGCGGGGGGAGAGCGGGGACGGGCACTCTGCAGGAAGCCGCTCGGCGACACGCTCGGGAGCGGCCCTCAGTCTGTGCGAGGTGGGGCATCTGCCCGCACACGGCATTCAGAAGCTTAAAACGGCAGAGATCAGGAGCCGCTTTCACTCAGGAATACAGTACTCGGCCTTTCTCACGTATCCTCACTACGAACACGATGACCTCGACAAGAAAGCCGCGAAAGACTGAGGAACAGACAGAAGAGCGCCGGGAATCACAGTATTCACCTTTCCTGTGCCTTCGGTAACTTTACAAAGAATATTCAGACGTTTAAATGGGTGCCTGACACTTTTCACTTTGTTATTCGATAGTAAAAAGAAAACCACCCAATTAAAAAAACAGTCACGTGTATACGAGACGGGGACACACGTCTAATTGTTTACGACAGCAAAGGAGAAAAAGTCGAAACCACTTAAACATTTACCGACAACACAGTGGATAAACTGGAGGACGTTCAAATGACACGAGGTGTTGAATGATAAAAAGGAGAAACAGAAAGTCTTCATTCACCACGGTCCCTCCTGGAAGCACCAGCTCCGATCTGTAGACGCAGAGCTACCGGGAGGCTCGGCGGAACCAGGAGCCTCAGACCAGAGTGCGGGCTGAGACCAGCCCGGTGGGACCAGGCGGGGACCGGAGAAGCGCGAAACTTCTGGCTCCATCGCGGACCTGCTCGTCCATGGTCTGTAGTTTGACGAGTCTTAGACGCACATTAAAATGAAGCAGCGCGGCCTTACGGTGGCCGTACCCGCTACTCAGGGCGACGCTGGCCAGCGACACCCTCTCCTGCAGCCCAGTACTGAAGGGAACCGAAATTCCGCCACCCGGACGCCGCCTTTTGGGACACTGATTTTAAGCTGTTTGTTTCAGACAGAAAAACCTGCTTCAGGAAGTTCGCCTCATCTGAATGAAGCACGGTAAATAAGAGGCCTTCAGGCGGGGGCGTTAGCTGGAAACCCAGGGTCCCGCTGCTTCTGAGCCGCTCGGAGTGATGGCTCCTGCTTCCTTGACGACCTGAAAATCGCCATTCTCACTTCCGAAAGCTGATGCCCCATCCCCCCAACTTATGTCACATATACCCGACATTGCCTCACTATCTCTGAAATTTTCATGCTGATATGAATCCCCCACGTGCATGCATTAAAATTCTGAATTTCTCTTGTTAAAAAAATGAGCAATGGATTTTCAGATACTTCTCCCAAGAAAATACACAAATGGACAACACGCGTATGAAGATGCCCAACGTCATCAGCCGTTAGTAACGAAGACCCACAATGAGATACCTCCCCACACCCACTAGGATGGCCGTAAGAAAAATGGAAACTAATGAGTGCCGGCCAGGATGCGGAGACTCTGGAAGCCTTGCGCACGGCTGACGGGAATGGAAGTGGGGCGGCCGCTGTGGGAAACCGTTTGGTGGCTCCTCAAAGAGCCAGACGCAGAATCACCGCAGGACCCGGCAAGCCCGCCCCGCAGACGTGTTCACACGCCGTGTTCACAGCAGCCGGCACGTGGCACCGACCGGAGCCCACCGACAGGCGAGCGAGCGAACAAGTACGGTGGACATGACGACCCGGCCGTGACGCGGAAGGGAGTTCTGACAGACGCGACAACACGGACGAGCCCCGGGGACGCCATGCGGAGGGGATAGCCCCAGGAGGACGAACCCGGCACGTGATCCCACAGCAGGAAAGTCAAAGAATCAGAA